GCTTTCTTTCTTCCAGGCAGTCAAAAAAGTGACACTCATCCCTGGTGATGGCATCGGCCCTGAAATATCAAGAGCAGTGGAGAAAATTTTTGGAGCTGCAAACGTGGGTGTTAAACTTTTTATTGTTTCCAGCCTTGCAGCTTTTTCATGGTTTAGGTTCCAGTGGAATTTGAGCCGGTCGACGTGACCGCTGTGTTCGGTCGCGACGGCAAGATGCACATACCTACGAAATGCATCGATATGATGCGCAAAAATAAAATCGGTCTCAAAGGTCCTTTGGCAACACCGATTGGCAAGGGTCATCGTTCGTTAAACTTGGCCTTGCGGAAGTAGGTTGGATGATTTTTCTCTTTCCGATTTCGCAGATCGTAATTCGATACTTTTATTGCAGCTTCTTACTCCATAGATGCTTAATAATAGAACCAATCAGGACAGTCTTGTAAACATTCCATTTCCATAACAAAAGTCATTTGGTACATGACTTCTTCAATACTAGGTTTCATCGTGCATTGCACCACCCTCTTGCACGTTGTTCTCTATTTGGGGTGGGGCGAGGGCAGTTAAGTATGTCAACAAAAGTTAGTGATGTGGAAGTAGTGGTCGAGTAAAAATATTACCAAAAATGACTGTTTCCAATTTTTAGGCTTAAGGACTAGACGTTACAGAACATTTTCTTATGCTAACTGGAACCAAGGCACAATTCCATGCACTTTCTGTGTGGGGTTGAAAGTCGAATGAGGTCTGCATAGTTTCACATTAATTATAAATTATTGCCTGAAATTGTTGAGTTTAGCCTTTTCTCTTTAACAACATCGCTCTAAACTTCTTTCTGTGCTGACTTCTTCGAAAATGATGGTTTCATTTCAGAAGTTGTATGCAGGTCGAGACATCTTGTTTACCAGGAGTCTTCAATTAATATTTGCGCAATGTAGGAAAGGAGGGAAAGGAAAATTTGTAACAGTTTAAATAGCCCATTCGGCTGTACATCACTGATCAGTACAACTGATGGCACTCATTCGTTAAGAGAGTTTATAATGCAGCGTTGCTATGTTCGAATTTCAATGGCCATCTGATCATCAGCCAAGATTGCCTTATTTTGAAGAAAATGCTTATAGATATGGGTAACAGATATATTCTCCTGTTTCCTTTACCACAAAATGGTACTCATTTTGTCTTGGAATAAAACAGGAAACGGCCTTTGCTACCTAAAGCTTCACTATGCAACACTGCAAAAATAAGGCAGCCTTTTCTCACCTTTCTTTTTCTCTCACCTTCGGCCTCTCTTTTCAGAAGCGGGTGCATGGGTGCATACGGTGTTGCAGATTGTACAGTGCAGCTGAGAGGTAAACAAGTAAAATATGTGGGTTAGTTTAACTGTCTCAGTTACATGATCTCCGATGGCTGTTCCAGACTTCTCCTATAATATGTAAGCATCAACTGGCCATTCAAACTATACATGATGATTAAAAAAGTTCGCCAAGCTTTCAGAAACTAATTCAGTTATTAGATGATCGTTATGCCAACGGATTTTTTCTCGGATTAGTTCTGTTGCACTGAAGTGAGTCTATGTTTCCTAGTTCTTGCATGCATTTGCGACCATCATGAACGAATAGTTAGGAAAAAATCAGCTTTTTAACTGTTTATCGAACTCTAGAAATTTCCTGACCGGTTTCAGACATTGTTTTCAGTAAATGTTTGTCCCAGAACCATATGTGCCGTCGCCTTTTAAGCACACTTCGTAGGTATCGTCTTCTGATTCGGTCGAAACGAGCTTATTAACCGCCAGATAGACTGATAGAGAACACGGTACCGTGAGAAACCAGTGTGTGTAAGAAAAAGGATATTCTAATTACAAACTTGCCTGGAACTTGCTGTCGACTGTATAGAAATAGAGTGGTATTTATTGCTAATGTTGTGCTGAATTAGTATTAAGTTTAGTGTGCTGTTATGCTTTTCCGCCCTTATTTAGGGCTTTTGCTAACTGTTTATCATTTTGCTTTAACTAAACATGTTTTCACGCGTTAAGTTTTATGACTACAGAATGTTAAACTTCAGGAGCATTATTACACCGATGCAATAAAAATCGTTTCCTTTCCATTTCATCATATCATCAGTGAAGTTTAGTCAAGATCTTTCTTTCAGATTCTGATTTCTTGCACATGAATCATTCTTTATTCAAAGAGCAAATGATGTAGAAAATATTTTTAGTTTCTTGTTTTTTTCTGAGATTGATAAGGATGAAGCACATCATGGAAGCGGCAAAGATCGATTCTTTTTGAGCAAGCGTATTGACTCGATATTTATAATTCGATTCCTTAAAATCGCTGTAAATTGCCATAAATTGTGCTCAGGTCTCGAATTTTAAACTTTGATAGGTACTGAAGAAAAAGCAGGCGAAAATGTGTACTTATTGAGATATCCGCTTTTCTTATGTTTTCATAAGCAACGCCTACTGTCAGGATATCTACGTCTGTAGAGCCTTCATGACTGAAGGCCGTAGTTTCAGATTCATGGTCGTTGGTCCTTTGTCTTTTCGGTGCTGATAAATGACTATCATTAAGGGAAACCAGGTTAAAGATTATACGACGCAGTAGTCATATTGCGGTACATAATGCGTTCAGTAATAAACCGCACCGCTGATTGATGCAAAACGATCAAACTAACAGTTTAGCGCTGTCATGAGCTGTATGAATAAACAGTGTTATAAGTAACTGATGGATAACAGTAGTGTTGGAAATGTACCTGTGGCTGACGTTCCAACAGTTGCAAGCTGTTTTTTTTATTTAGGTAACCTTTCACTACTTTTCGTTTCTGTGGTTTCCTTGGTCATTTTAAATGTTTATTTTTTAAATGGCTGTGCTCATTCTCAGGAAAGCAACGGTTTGTTTGAAGATCAGTGTTTCGTCATTCGCGGTTTTATCCGCTCTTCTCTCAGACCTGTTAGGTGAGAGGAAGCGTTCCGTTTTTGCTTCTCCGATGTTTGATTGCGTTTTAAACGGAACTGATTCTTCTGCATATTTACGTTCGTGCCCTGAAAATAGATGTGCTTATTTCGTGGATAAGATTATCAGTTCGTGCAGTAGTGCTGATCGATCAGTGCTAAATGATATAAATCCGTTAAAACGAATAGTTCAATGTCTGGGCAAAACCTTTATTCGGGGTGCTGAAAGTTTTAGTAACTATAAAATTTCTGGTTTCAGTACACTTCAAGTGTTGATTTTTCCTAGCTTTCCTTTACTCACTATGGTATATGTCGTCCTCACAAAATAATGACTTGAATGTAGAAGTTGGGAAAAAGGTATGACCAGATTTTCAGGTCTTTATCGCCTTCTTTTATATTGGGTGATGATCAGATGTTATTTCTTTCGTTCCCAGAGGTCACTATCTTTAAGCATCGTTCCGATATTCCGTCTTAAGTGAGAAACCGTGCTGCTTTCACCGTTCTGCTTATTTCATTCAATATTAGTTCGAGCTGTGGCCCACATCTCCCCGTCAAAAACACGGATGGCAAATGCCCATATTTAAATGGCGACAAATGTACAGAAGTAAAATTTGTATGTTTATGTTTTAAGTTCTCATAATTAGTTTTAATCATGCAACTATGTTCAAAATTAATGTTCTGCTCTCAGCCTAGTCCTAAACTTAAAATCGCACATATTGTGCAGTTTTGGATAATTGTATAACATAAACTGAGTAAGCATTGAACTACCGTATTTTTCGGGCCACAAGGCGCACCGGATTATAAGGCGTACTAACTATTAACGCACTATCTAAGATCTTTTTCATACATTAGGCGCACCGGATTATAAGGCGCATAAAGCGAAACAAAATAGTCGGGTAGATCAGACTTTATTTAACTCGTTAACAATAACTGTCAAATTGTTCACGGTAACAATAACTGCAACAGTAACATTAACAGTCAATATTATATACTTGTAACACACGTAAAATACCACCA